GTCTAGACTGCGGACTTAGTGTACCCCTCTGATAACTGTTAATAGAGTAGTCTAGACTGCGGACTAAGTGTACCCTCTGATAACTGTTAATAGAGTAGTCTAGACTGCGGACTTAGTGTACCCTCTGATAACTGTTAATAGAGTAGTCTAGACTGCGGACTAAGTGTACCCCTCTGATAACTGTTAATAGAGTAGTCTAGACTGCTTGGACTTAGTGTACCCCTCTGATGAGTGTTAATAGAGTAGTCTAGACTGCGGACTTAGTGTACCCCTCTGATGAGTGTTAATAGAGTAGTCTAGACTGTGGACTTAGTGTACCCCTCTGATGAGTGTTAATAGAGTAGTCTAGACTGCGGACAAAGTGTACCCCTCTGATAAGTGTTAATAGAGTAGTCTAGACTGCGGACTTAGTGTACCCCTCTGATGAGTGTTAATAGAGTAGTCTAGACTGTGGACTTAGTGTACCCCTCTGATGAGTGTTAATAGAGTAGTCTAGACTGCGGACAAAGTGTACCCCTCTGATAAGTGTTAATAGAGTAGTCTAGACTGCGGACTTAGTGTACCCTCTGATAACTGTTAATAGAGTAGTCTAGACTGTGGACTTAGTGTACCCCTCTGATGAGTGTTAATAGAGTAGTCTAGACTGCGGACAAAGTGTACCCCTCTGATAACTGTTAATAGAGTAGTCTAGACTGTGGACTTAGTGTACCCCTCTGATGAGTGTTAATAGAGTAGTCTAGACTGCGGACAAAGTGTACCCCTCTGATAAGTGTTAATAGAGTAGTCTAGACTGCGGACTTAGTGTACCCCTCTGATAACTGTTAATAGAGTAGTCTAGACTGTGGACTTGAGTGTACCCTCTGATGAGTGTTAATAGAGTAGTCTAGACTGCGGACAAAGTGTACCCCTCTGATAAGTGTTAATAGAGTAGTCTAGACTGTGGACTTAGTGTACCCCTCTGATGAGTGTTAATAGAGTAGTCTAGACTGCGGACTAAGTGTACCCCTCTGATAAGTGTTAATAGAGTAGTCTAGACTGCGGACTTAGTGTACCCTCTGATAAGTGTTAATAGAGTAGCCTAGACTGAGGACTAAGTGTACCCTCTGATGAGTGTTAATAGAGTAGTCTAGACTGCGGACTAAGTGTACCCTCTGATAACTGTTAATAGAGTAGTCTAGACTGCGGACTTAGTGTACCCCTCTGATAACTGTTAATAGAGTAGTCTAGACAGCGGACTAAGTGTACCCCTCTGATAACTGTTAATAGAGTAGTCTAGACTGCGGACTTAGTGTACCCCTCTGATAACTGTTAATAGAGTAGTCTAGACTGCGGACTAAGTGTACCCCTCTGATAACTGTTAATAGAGTAGTCTAGACTGCGGACTAAGTGTACCCTCTGATAACTGTTAATAGAGTAGTCTAGACTGCGGACTAAGTGTACCCCTCTGATAACTGTTAATAGAGTAGTCTAGACTGCGGACTTAGTGTACCCCTCTGATGAGTGTTAATAGAGTAGTCTAGACTGCGGACTAAGTGTACCCCTCTGATGAGTGTTAATAGAGTAGTCTAGACTGTGGACTTAGTGTACCCCTCTGATGAGTGTTAATAGAGTAGTCTAGACTGCGGACTTAGTGTACACCTCTGATGAGTGTTAATAGAGTAGTCTAGACTGCGGACTTAGTGTACCCCTCTGATAACTGTTAATAGAGTAGTCTAGACTGCGGACTAAGTGTACCCCTCTGATAACTGTTAATAGAGTAGTCTAGACTGCGGACTTAGTGTACCCCTCTGATAACTGTTAATAGAGTAGTCTAGACTGCGGACTAAGTGTACCCCTCTGATAACTGTTAATAGAGTAGTCTAGACTGCGGACTTAGTGTACCCCTCTGATGAGTGTTAATAGAGTAGTCTAGACTGCGGACTTAGTGTACCCCTCTGATGAGTGTTAATAGAGTAGTCTAGACTGTGGACTTAGTGTACCCCTCTGATGAGTGTTAATAGAGTAGTCTAGACTGCGGACCAAAGTGTACCCTCTGATAAGTGTTAATAGAGTAGTCTAGACTGCGGACTTAGTGTACCCCTCTGATAACTGTTAATAGAGTAGTCTAGACTGTGGACTTAGTGTACCCCTCTGATGAGTGTTAATAGAGTAGTCTAGACTGCGGACAAAGTGTACCCCTCTGATAACTGTTAATAGAGTAGTCTAGACTGTGGACTTAGTGTACCCCTCTGATGAGTGTTAATAGAGTAGTCTAGACTGCGGACTAAGTGTACCCCTCTGATAAGTGTTAATAGAGTAGTCTAGACTGCGGACTTAGTGTACCCCTCTGATAAGTGTTAATAGAGTAGCCTAGACTGAGGACTAAGTGTACCCCTCTGATGAGTGTTAATAGAGTAGTCTAGACTGCGGACTAAGTGTACCCCTCTGATAACTGTTAATAGAGTAGTCTAGACTGCGGACTTAGTGTACCCCTCTGATAACTGTTAATAGAGTAGTCTAGACAGCGGACTAAGTGTACCCCTCTGATAACTGTTAATAGAGTAGTCTAGACTGCGGAATTAGTGTACCCCTCTGATAACTGTTAATAGAGTAGTCTAGACTGCGGACTAAGTGTACCCCTCTGATAACTGTTAATAGAGTAGTCTAGACTGCGGACTAAGTGTACCCCTCTGATAACTGTTAATAGAGTAGTCTAGACTGCGGACTAAGTGTACCCTCTGATAACTGTTAATAGAGTAGTCTAGACTGCGGACTTAGTGTACCCTCTGATGAGTGTTAATAGAGTAGTCTAGACTGCGGACTTAGTGTACCCCTCTGATGAGTGTTAATAGAGTAGTCTAGACTGTGGACTTAGTGTACCCCTCTGATGAGTGTTAATAGAGTAGTCTAGACTGCGGACAAAGTGTACCCCTCTGATAAGTGTTAATAGAGTAGTCTAGACTGCGGACTTAGTGTACCCCTCTGATAACTGTTAATAGAGTAGTCTAGACTGTGGACAAAGTGTACCCCTCTGATAAGTGTTAATAGAGTAGCCTAGACTGCGGACTAAGTGTACCCCTCTGATAAGTGTTAATAGAGTAGTCTAGACTGTGGACTTAGTGTACCCCTCTGATGAGTGTTAATAGAGTAGTCTAGACTGCGGACTAAGTGTACCCTCTGATAAGTGTTAATAGAGTAGCCTAGACTGCGGACTAAGTGTACCCCTCTGATAAGTGTTAATAGAGTAGCCTAGACTGCGGACTAAGTGTACCCCTCTGATGAGTGTTAATAGAGTAGTCTAGACTGCGGACTTAGTGTACCCCTCTGATAACTGTTAATAGAGTAGTCTAGACTGCGGACTAAGTGTACCCCTCTGATAACTGTTAATAGAGTAGTCTAGACTGCGGACTAAGTGTACCCCTCTGATAACTGTTAATAGAGTAGTCTAGACTGCGGACAAAGTGTACCCCTCTGATAACTGTTAATAGAGTAGTCTAGACTGCGGACTTAGTGTACCCCTCTGATGAGTGTTAATAGAGTAGTCTAGACTGTGGACTAAGTGTACCCCTCTGATAACTGTTAATAGAGTAGTCTAGACTGCGGACTTAGTGTACCCCTCTGATGAGTGTTAATAGAGTAGTCTAGACTGTGGACTAAGTGTACCCCTCTGATAACTGTTAATAGAGTAGTCTAGACTGCGGACAAAATGTACCCCTCTGATAACTGTTAATAGAGTAGTCTAGACTGCGGACTTAGTGTACCCCTCTGATGAGTGTTAATAGAGTAGCCTAGACTGCGGACTAAGTGTACCCCTCTGATAAGTGTTAATAGAGTAGTCTAGACTGCGGACTTAGTGTACCCCTCTGATGAGTGTTAATAGAGTAGCCTAGACTGCGGACTAAGTGTACCCCTCTGATGAGTGTTAAACAGCAGGGCTCCCACTGGAGTGTGCTGGCATTTAGTGCCTGACTCTGAGGGTGTGGGTTCTAGTGTTGGGAATTGGTTAAAATCTCATAATTGATGATTGGTTCATTACCACGATCAATCATCGAAAATAATTGGTTAGCGTCATTTATGAAATTTGTTGATGCACAAAAAAATAAGGAAAAAAACATGTAGTTATTTTGGGGGGTTTGGGCAAAATTTCATATCTCTAAAGGATGACTAGTATGTTAGGAACATAAATTTCTTGGAGTCTTTAAGATAAATTCAATCATGACTTGGAACGAGCTTGCAGGGCTTATGAAATGTAACAGACAAAACCAACCTTGTGAAAAATATTGTTGATGAAAAACAGTGTTCCAGAATTGTTTGTGTTCGATCATGAGAAAACACGATCGATGATTGGTCGTTTAATCACTGCGACCAATCTTCGATTATTACAATTAATCGGATCACCACTAGTGGGTTCGAATCCCGGATGGGACTCAACCCATAAATTTACTAGAATTTGTTCATTTCTAAGAAAGTGTATTTCAAAATATAACATATATTACATTTGACCACTTTCTAAAAGGCATTGTGTAACCATAGCTTTCGGTCGTGGGAGCCGTGCCAATTAACACTTATCAGAGGGGTACACAAAGTCCGCAGTCTAGACTACCAGTTGTCCGACTTCCATTTTTGTGGAAGTCGCGGTGGCTGAGCGGGTTAGGCGGCTGACTTTGTGTGCTAGTGTGTGCTGGTGTGTGCTAGTGTGTGCTAGTGTGTGTGCTGGTGTGTGCTAGTGTGTGCTGGTGTGTGCTGGTGTGTGCTGGTGTGTGCCGGTGTGTGCCGGTGTGTGCCGGTGTATACCGGTGTGTGCTGGTTTGTGCTGGTGTATGAAAGTCCGTTTATCTTAGGCCCTGAACATGTATCTAATGATGTATGAAAGTCCGTTACTCTCGGTCCCTGAACATGTATATAATGATGCATAAATGTTATTTCCCCCTTAGGCCCTGAACATGTATTTAATGATGTATAAAAGTTCTCTCACCCTTAGGCCCTGAACATGTGTTTAAGAATTGATGAAAATACGTAACCCCTTGTCCTTGAACTTGTAACTTCAGATTCCGTGGCGGTTTACTTGGCCTGTCAGTGAAGGTTGCTGTGGAGACGGTTGCCGTGGAGACAACGCTGTCGCCATTTGCCTTGGATACGAGTCTGAAGTTGTACCTTCTTCCTGGTATCAAGTTATCAAACAAGTGTGACCTTGACTCGGCGCTGACCTTGACCGTGTTGGCCTCTTGCTGTTCCTCTGACCAGAAGATGGTGTAGTCCAGCGACGTGTTGACGTGTTTCCTCGGCAGCGTCCACGCCACGATTATTGAGGTTGACGTCACCGTCGTCGCCTCGACTTGAACAAATGTGTCTGGAAGACGGTATGAATAGATTAGGAAGACAGCATAAGACGCAGTAGCACAGCTATATAAGATGCGTTCTACCTTCATCTACACAGTATGCCTGGTGAATTACCTTTGTGTTGATGTGTCGTGGTGAATGTATTTGTGTGTACATGTGTAACGAATAAACACTCTATCTTGTGAGATAACAAGGGTGCTGAGTAAGTTACCATGGCAACATCTTACCAAGAGGATATGTCCGGTTTACGGCGGTATCACTCCAAGCACTTGACCCCTGACCTTTAACTGTCTTTACTCGGAAGACATAGGTAGTATTTGACTGTAGTCTTGTAATGACCGCTCTCGTGTCCTTGACCCCTGAGACCTGGAGCCGGTGACCCCGATGCTGATGTTTGTGGTACTTGATGTTGTATTGGCGGCCGTCGAGCTGCTGGAACTCCCCCAGTCCCGGGTCGTGCCACCTGACGAGGATCTCACTAGGGGAGACAACTGATGTGGAGATGATCTCCGGTTGAGGAAGTTTCACTGACGCTGCAACATATACGTCTTCTGTGTCCAACACAATAAATACACGTCGTCCTCACCTGGGAAGGACATACGCTCTGGGCAACAGTTTGACACGTGCACCATTAAACGTTTTACCTCCCTGGGCGGGAAGTGCCAGCAATGCTCTGTTTCAAACATCGCACTATAACGCCATTTATTATGTAGATAACTCCTCGAGGTACATCCAACTATACAACACCTTGATTTTAACTCATTGTATATCCCACCATACAACACCTTCATTTTATCTCACTGTGCATCCCACTATACAACACCTTGATTCTAACTCATTGTATATCCCACTATACATTCCAGAGAAGTTTGAAAGCATCATTTTCAATGACGCCCTGGACATACATGTATTCAGGGTCGTACCATGGATGAACCTCGGAGACAAAGCCACAGGCCTTATTATTATTATTATTATTATTATTGGAAACTCTTCAGAAACAAAAGTTCCAATTCCGCTACCTACATTCCCGCCCCAAGGAAACTTGGCAATGAAAAGAGTCCGTCAGCGTTCTGGGATTTGCAAAAAGCTAATATATTGAATGATTATTTTGAATTTACACTAGCCAAATAAAGAAACTGTGCATTGTCAAAATATTATCCCAGTTCATAAGTACGATAACAATGTCAAAGGTACATATAAACTGTAATGGAGGGATCATGAGACCATAACAAGTCGGGAGAATTTCAGTTGAAAAGTCAATCACAATGACGTCACGAGTCCACAAGCGGGACAGGGGTCAAACGACCATGTCACAAGCTCAATAACGGGTATGTCCACCATCGGCATTGAGAATAGCAGTGCATCGACGACGCATAGAGCCTATCAAACGTGCAAGGAAGGCGTGTGGGATGTCACACCAGATTCTCTCAAGTTCTGTTGCAAGGTCAAGGACGTTATCTGGCGGATGAAGAAGACGGCGTAGGCGTCGATCCATCTCGTCCCAAACATGCTCTATCGGGGAGAGATCCAGTGAATTTACTGACCAAGGCAGTAAGTCAACGTTGTGGTGTTGCAAGAAATCCATAGCAACCCTTGCCGTATGAGGGCGGGCATTGTCCTGTTGGAATGTTAACCCAGGGCCATGACGTTGCGGAAGAGGAACTGCCACAGGTCGAAGAATCTGATCCCTGTAGCCCACACCAGTTAAGTTGCCCTGAACAATCACCAAGGGAGTTCTTTGGCGTGCTGTTATTCCACCCCAAATCATCACGGAACCACCACCAAAGCGATTCCTCTGCAAGACACAGGCCTGTGCATAACGTTCCCACACGCGTCTATAGGCACGTTGACGTTCATCACTATGGGAAATGTTAAACCTGGATTCATCTTTAAAAACAACATTTCTCCACCAAAACAAGGGTCTGCGGACATGATTTCGGCACCACATTAGGCGAGCTTGTCGATGACGTTGTGTCAGGATAGGCCGTATGGCAGGATGTTGTGGTCTGATCCCGTGATGACGTAAACGTTGTCGAAATGTGTTGGGGTGGATACGGCAAAGTCCTGGGATGGTTCGGGCCGTCATCACTGCAGTCTGAAACCTGTGGCGAAGATGTGTCACCCTTATCCATATGTCCTGTCTTGGCGTTGTTACACGTGGACGTCCAGAACGTGGCGGATCGATGACGTCATTTGTGTTCTGGTAGCGTCTCACCAGTGGAGAAATGGTGTTCCAGTGGCAGTGGAAATGTGCAGCCACTTGTTGTTGAGACATACCCCCACAGACCATCCCGATGGCCTCATGACGTTGTGCAGACGTGAGCCTTGGCTTGCTATGCGTTTCAATAGCCGTTTAATTTTTTTAACGATCGCAAGGGCAGGGGTTGAACTTTCCGAAGTGACAGTATTGTGTGGCATTCATTTGCTCTGTTTCTCTTTCCCGAAATGCACGTGCAACAACGTATTGCACGTCTCAAGGACGAACCCACTGACGTCACGGAACGTGGCACGTGCATGCATGTTGGATACATGTCACTAATGTCTGAGTTTAAATCCTTATGTGTCTACACAGGTTTGATAAATTTAGATTTAAATTTTTTGTATGCACAGTTTCTTTATGTGCCTAGTATATATATATATATATATATATGTGTGTGTGTGTGTGTGTGTGTGTGTGTGTAATTTAGAAGAAGGTGAGAATTTAGACCTTCCTCAGTTTGACAAACGCACTGACGCTTTGGGGGGGAAATATAATTCTTACCAGTAATGAAATATCAGATATAATTAAATGTTTGCCTGTAAAGAAAGCTGCTGGACCCGACGGAATCAGTCATCAATTGCTAAAGAAAACGGTTACTCTATTAGCCTCGTACTAAGTTTAAGATTTGATTATCTCTCAATTGTTTTGTGTATCCCAATAATTGGAAATATTCCAATGTAATGCCTCTATTTAAGAAAGGTGACCGCTCAAACTATAGACCCATCTCTTATTAGTTATGTGCGAAACTTGTTTGAGAGAGCAGTTTTTAGACATGTGTATAACTATTTCTTTATACAATAGGTTCTCATATAAGTGTCAATGTGGATTCCAAACTGGTCATTCAACTGTTCATCAACTAATAATCACATTTGTATATCACTTGACAAGAAAGAAAGCCACTGCATGGTATTTTGCGATGTCTAAAGCCTTTGATAGGGTACACATATGGCACAAAGGGTTTATGTTAAAATTAGAAATATTTGGGGTTAAAGGAAAGTTACTTAATTGGTTTAAAAGCTATATCAACAATCGTAATGAATCCCTGTTTGTTAACGGAGCTTTATTCACGCCGAGAATGTTAAAAACTGGCGTTCCATAAGGTTCAGTACTCGGTCCTTTGTTTACGTCAATGAAATAGCCTCTGTATTATTTAACAAGACTATTTGCTGATGACACTGCGCTTGGTGCTATTTCAAAAGAAAAGTGCTTAATGGAAAAATACTATGAATGATAATTTGACCTTATTGAGTAATTGCTGATTAAATATAATTCTGATAAAACTGAAGCTTTGATACTTTCTCTGATACTGGCCAACCAAACTTAATTTTGATGGAGTTAGTATAACTATTGTTGATTTTCACAAAAATTTGGGATTCACTTTTTCTTCGAACGGCAGCTGGTATTGTGGTATGTGAAAATGTATATCATTATTTTTGGGGAATGTCCCCGATATATAACACAAAGAGAAGTTTGTCAGCTAACATAAGTGATATTTTACAAAACAGATATTTACTAGATAAATGTTATATTTTACATGGCAATGCAGTCCTTTCACCGGAAGAAACTCAGAATATCTTCAAACATGTCCAACATTACACCAATCAAACTAAACGATTCCTCTGTCCATCTTAAACTGTTATATTCTTAAACTCAAGATCTCTAATTTATATCTTTTCTGTTTGTCTGCTTTATGCATATCAGATTTATCTAACGTAAATATAATTGTTGTAAATACGTGGAGAGGGCTTCATTAAGCCGGATAACTTGTGCCAACTCCTCTTCTTCAATGAATAAAATATGTTTAAATCAAATCACATCAATCTATGAATGTTTGTGCCAATGCATCACTGTTTTCTTACTCAGCGTCTCGTGTTCGTCACGTCGCTCTGTCTGTGAATGTTTGTGGTCAATGTGTCACTGTTACACCACTAAAACTACGGAGACACAAAACGCTCTGCTGGTAACTCCTGTTGCTATTTTTCCAGCATAAAGGTTAATGCCTCGCAGCTAGTTTCGAACAAAGACATTTCTTTCCCCATCTTGTGTCCATTACCACAAGTTGCCGTGAAGGTCACGAGTTGAATGTTGTGTCATAGTATCACAACAATGGTCACGTGACACTAAAGTCGCTACTTCCGTGTTTTAGCTGTTAGCGTGTGTGGCACCTGACCTGTGCCCCGGGCTATTGTTTGAACAAGGCCCGTGGGAGGGGGAATGGAGGGAGAATGGGGAGGTAGACGATTAGGGAATGGGATGTATGTAACACATCGCCTCCAGAAACTGAAACCCAAACACGTTAGCTTTCCCTGTATCATTCACAAATAAAAGTGCATAACTCTTCACTGGCGACGTTTTAGCATAATGAATCATACACAGTCGTGCCGATTCACCCTTCAACACATTCATCTCAACGTGACAATGATTGCAATACACCCCTGTGTTACCGTCCAATACACCACCTTTATCTCAACGTGACAATGATCCCAATACACCTGTGTGTTATCTTCCAATACACCACCTTTATCTCAACGTGACAATGATTGCAATGCACTTGTGTGTTATCTTCCAATACACCACCTTTATCTCAACGTGACAATGATTGCAATGCACTTGTGTGTTATCTTCCAATACACCACCTTTATCTCAACACGGCAATGATCGCAATACACCTGTGTGTTATCTTCCAATACACCACCTTTATCTCAACGAGACAATGATCCAAATACACCTGTGTGTTATCTTCCAATACACCACCTTTATCTCAACGTGACAATGATTGCAATGTACTTGTGTGTTATCTTCCAATACACCACCTTTATCTCAACGTGACAATGATCGCAATATACCCGTGTGTTATCTTCCAATACACCACCTTTATCTCAACGAGACAATGATCCCAATACACCTGTGTGTTATCTTCCAATACACTACCTTTATCTCAACGAGACAATGATCGCAATACACCTGTGTGTTATCTTCCAATACACCACCTTTATCTCAACGTGACAATGATCCCAATACACCCGTGTGTTATCTTCCAATACACCACCTTTATCTCAACGTGACAATGATCCCAATACACCCGTGTGTTACCTTCCAAAACACCACCTTTATCTCAACACGGCAATGATCGCAATACACCTGTGTGTTATCTTCCAATACACCACCGTTATCTCAACGAGACAATGATCCCAATACACCTTCTGTGTTATCTTCCAATACACTACCTTTATCTCAACGTGACAATGATCGCAATATACCCGTGTGTTATCTTCCAATACACCACCTTTATCTCAACGAGACAATAATGCTAATGCACCTGTGTGTTATCTTCCAATACACCACCTTTATCTCAACGAGACAATAATGCTAATGCACCTGTGTGTTATCTTCCAATACACCACCTTTATCTCAACGAGACAGAGATCCCAATACACCCGTGTGTTATCTTCCAATACACCACCTTTATCTCAACGAGACAATGATCCCAATACACCTGTGTGTTATCTTCCAATACACCACCTTTAACTCAACGAGACAATGATCGCAATACACCCGTGTGTTATCTTCCAATACACCACCTTTATCTCAACGAGACAATGATCGCAATACACCTGTGTGTTATCTTCCAATACACCACCTTTATCTCAACGTGACAATGATCGCAATACACCCGTGTGTTATCTTCCAATACACCACCTTTATCTAAACGAGACAATGATCGCAATACACCTGTGTGTTATCTTCCAATACACCACCTTTATCTAAACGAGACAATGATCGCAATACACCTGTGTGTTATCTTCCAATACACCACCTTTATCTCAACGAGACAATAATGCTAATGCACCTGTGTGTTATCTTCCAATACACTACCTTTATCTCAACGAGACAGAGATCCCAATACACCCGTGTGTTATCTTCCAATACACCACCTTTATCTCAACGAAACAATGATCCCAATACACCTGTGTGTTATCTTCCAATACACCACCTTTATCTCAACGTGACAATGATCCCAATACACCCGTGTGTTACCTTCCAAACCACCACCTTTATCTCAACGTGACAGAGATCCCAATACACCCCTGTGTTACCGTCCAAACCACCACCTTTATCTCAACACGGCAATGATCGCAATACACCTGTGTGTTATCTTCCAATACACCACCTTTATCTCAACGAGACAATGATCCCAATACACCTGTGTGTTATCTTCCAATACACCACCTTTATCTCAACGTGACAATGATTGCAATGTACTTGTGTGTTATCTTCCAATACACCACCTTTATCTCAACGTGACAATGATCCCAATACACCTGTGTGTTATCTTTCAATACACCACCTTTATCTCAACGTGACAATGATCCCAATACACCCGTGTGTTACCTTCCAAACCACCACCTTTATCTCAACGTGACAGAGATCCCAATACACCCCTGTGTTACCGTCCAAACCACCACCTTTATCTCAACACGGCAATGATCGCAATACACCTGTGTGTTATCTTCCAATACACCACCTTTATCTCAACGAGACAATGATCCCAATACACCTGTGTGTTATCTTCCAATACACCACCTTTATCTCAACGTGACAATGATTGCAATGTACTTGTGTGTTATCTTCCAATACACCACCTTTATCTCAACGTGACAATGATTGCAATGTACTTGTGTGTTATCTTCCAATACACCACCTTTATCTCAACGTGACAATGATCCCAATACACCTGTGTGTTATCTTTCAATACACCACCTTTATCTCAACGTGACAGAGATCCCAATACACCTGTGTGTTATCTTCCAATACACCACCTTTATCTCAACGAGACAATGATCCCAATACACCTGTGTGTTATCTTCCAATACACCACCTTTATCTCAACGTGACAGAGATCCCAATACACCTGTGTGTTATCTTCCAATACACCACCTTTATCTCAACGTGACAATGATCCAAATACACTTGTGTGTTATCTTCCAATACACCACCTTTATCTCAACGTGACGATGATTGCAATGTACTTGTGTGTTATCTTCCAATACACCACCTTTATCTCAACGTGACAATGATCCCAATACACCTGTGTGTTATCTTTCAATACACCACCTTTATCTCAACGTGACAATGATCCCAATACACCCGTGTGTTACCTTCCAAACCACCACCTTTATCTCAACGTGACAGAGATCCCAATACACCCCTGTGTTACCGTCCAAACCACCACCTTTATCTCAACACGGCAATGATCGCAATACACCTGTGTGTTATCTTCCAATACACCACCTTTATCTCAACGAAACAATGATCCCAATACACCTGTGTGTTATCTTCCAATACACCACCTTTATCTCAACGTGACAATGATCCCAATACACCCGTGTGTTACCTTCCAAACCACCACCTTTATCTCAACGTGACAGAGATCCCAATACACCCCTGTGTTACCGTCCAAACCACCACCTTTATCTCAACGAGACAATGATCCCAATACACCTGTGTGTTATCTTCCAATACACCACCTTTATCTCAACGAGACAATGATCCCAATACACCTGTGTGTTATCTTCCAATACACCACCTTTATCTCAACGTGACAATGATTGCAATGTACTTGTGTGTTATCTTCCAATACACCACCTTTATCTCAACGTGACAATGATCCCAATACACCTGTGTGTTATCTTTCAATACACCACCTTTATCTCAACGTGACAGAGATCCCAATACACCTGTGTGTTATCTTCCAATATACCACCTTTATCTCAACGTGACAATGATCCAAATACACTTGTGTGTTATCTTCCAATACACCACCTTTATCTCAACGAGACAATGATCCCAATACACCTTCTGTGTTATCTTCCAATACACCACCTTTATCTCAACACGGCAATGATCGCAATACACCTGTGTGTTATCTTCCAATACACCACCTTTATCTCAACGAGACAATGATCCCAATACACCTTCTGTGTTATCTTCCAATACACCACCTTTATCTCAACACGGCAATGATCGCAATACACCTGTGTGTTATCTTCCAATACACTACCTTTATCTCAACGTGACAGAGATCCCAATACACCTGTGTGTTATCTTCCAATACACCACCTTTATCTCAACGTGACAATGATCCCAATACACCTGTGTGTTATCTTTCAATACACCACCTTTATCTCAACGTGACAGAGATCCCAATACACCTGTGTGTTATCTTCCAATACACCACCTTTATCTCAACGTGACAGAGATCCCAATACACCTGTGTGTTATCTTTCAATACACCACCTTTATCTCAACGTGACAGAGATCCCAATACACCTGTGTGTTATCTTCCAATACACCACCTTTATCTCAACGTGACAGAGATCCCAATACACCTGTGTGTTATCTTCCAATACACCACCTTTATCTCAACGTGACAGAGATCCCAATACACCTGTGTGTTATCTTCCAATACACCACCTTTATCTCAACGTGACAATGATCCAAATACACTTGTGTGTTATCTTCCAATACACCACCTTTATCTCAACGAGACAATGATCCCAATACACCTTCTGTGTTATCTTCCAATACACCACCTTTATCTCAACACGGCAATGATCGCAATACACCTGTGTGTTATCTTCCAATACACCACCTTTATCTCAACACGGCAATGATCGCAATACACCTGTGTGTTATCTTCCAATACACCACCTTTATCTCAACGAGACAATGATCCCAATACACCTTCTGTGTTATCTTCCAATACACCACCTTTATCTCAACGTGACAATGATCCAAATACACCTGTGTGTTATCTTCCAATACACCACCTTTATCTCAACACGGCAATGATCGCAATACACCTGTGTGTTATCTTCCAATACACCACCTTTATCTCAACGAGACAATGATCCCAATACACCTTCTGTGTTATCTTCCAATACACCACCTTTATCTCAACGTGACAATGATCCAAATACACCTGTGTGTTATCTTCCAATACACCACCTTTATCTCAACGAGACAATAACGCTAATGCACCTGTGTGTTATCTTCCAATACACCACCTTTATCTCAACGAGACAGAGATCCCAATACACCTGTGTGTTATCTTCCAATACACCACCTTTATCTCAACGAGACAGAGATCCCAATACACCTGTGTGTTATCTTCCAATACACCACCTTTATCTCAACGAAACAATGATCCCAATACACCTGTGTGTTATCTTCCAATACACCACCTTTATCTCAACAAGACAATGATCCCAATACACCCATGGCACATCCTCCAGTACACCACCTTTATCTCAAAGAGACAGGTATCCTAATAGACATCCACGAGAGAACATTCAATAGCAAATAATGGTGAGTTACATGGTTACATTCCCACATATCGTGCAAGACTGGTCGAGTCTGGAACTGGCACGACTTACCGACTCGTTCTGTCAGGATATCCACAACGCAGACGACAATGCCGAGAAGGCAGGCGTCCACCCGGAACCACATCCTGCAGTCCCTCTTGACTGTCTTCCAAGTACCCCTGCTAAGTGTTCCTGCTAGGTACCCCGTGCAGTATCCTGTCTCAGTATCCTCATGCAGTATCCGCTCTCAGTATCTTCATTTAGTTTCCTTGCTCAGTAGCCATGTCCAGTATCCCTGCTCAGAATCCTTCTTGGTAATCCCTGTTTAATATCCATGCATGGTCACTTTAGCTCCCCGTGTATGAGACAGACCAAGTCTTGTATGACAGACCGAAAGACACACTCGGCCCAGGCCTCTGTGCCGAAAACAGGTGATAGAGCGTGAGCAGGTCCCTGACTGGCCGAGTGGTTAGGCCGTGGGGCAGGAGTTGTGGTAGAATGGCCGTCGACAGGCCTGAGGAGAACAGAGCTCACAAGGAGGAAAGGAGCGGATCAGGAGAGCCGGAAAGACCTACTAACGTCCGTCACTTCAATAAGCGTGGATCGTACTGATACTCTTGTGTGGCTAGTACTGTCTCTAGTACTGCACTCTGGTTCTGTGCCCAGCTCTGTCTAGTGCGAGACTCCGATCTAGAACTGTCTCTTATACTGGACTCTGGTTGTGTCTCCAGCCCTGTTTAGTACTGTCTCTAGTAATGGAATCCTGTCTAGTACTCTCTATAGTACTGGACTCTGGTTCTGTCTCCAGCTGTCTAGTACTGGACACCAGTCTATTACTGTCTCTTGTACTGTACTTTGGTTGTGTCTCCAGCTCTGTCTAGTACTGTCTCTAGTACTTGAATCCTGTCTAGTACCGTCTCTAGTACTTGACCCTGGGTCTGTCTCCAGCTGTCTAGTACGGCACCCCAGTCTAGTACTGTCTGTAGTACTGAGTTTAGTCCTCGGACACATTTGATCTAGTTGATAATACAATTTTCGTCATGTTATTAGTTTTTCAGCTTTATTGAGACCCTGAAATGCATGGCGACATGTGTTAGACAATAAACCGCAGTCATCACCGACGGACAGCTGATACAATACATGGCTTCTGTGGGAAAAGTTCTTACAAGACTTTTTGTTGCTTCTGTAACATTTCTATCTAAACCCCGGCAAGCATGAAACATATATGAACGTTTCTCGCAATAATGAAAGAAAGACACATTGTCAGTTAATCACATGCAGTTTGACCTAGTCTCGGTCTGAATACCCTGTCTGATTCTTTTACCGTTGGAAGACACAGTCACGGTGGAAAGGCATTGTCACGGTGGGAAGACATAGTCACGGTGGAAAGGCATTGTCACGGTGGAAAGACATTGTCACGGTGGAAAGGCATTGTCACGGTGGTCACGGTGGAAAGGCATTGTTAGGGTGGAAAGGCATTGTCACGGTGGTCACGGTGGAAAGGCATTGTCACGGTGGGAAGACATAGTCACGGTGGGAAGACATGGTCACGGTGGGAAGACATGGTCATGGTGGGAAGACATAGTCACGGTGGGAAGACATAGTCATGGTGGGAAGACATGGTCATGGTGGGAAGACATGGTCACAGTGGGAAGACTTGGTCACAGTGGGAAGACTTGGTCACAGTGGGAAGACATGGTCATGGTGGGAAGACATGGTCATGGTGGGAAGACATGGTCACGATAGTAACACATCCTCATGGTGGGGAGACATGGTCATGGTGGGAAGACATGGTCACGATAGTAACACATCCTCATGGTGGGAAGACATGGTCATGGTGGGAAGACATGGTCACGATAGTAACACATCCTCATGGTGGGAAGACATGGTCATGGTGGGGAGACATGGTCATGGTGGGAAGACATAGTCACGATAGTAACACATCCTCATGGTGGGGAGACATGGTCATGGTGGGAAGACATAGTCACAATAGTAACACATCCTCATGGTGGGGAGACATGGTCATGGTGGGAAGACATAGTCACGATAGTAACACATCCTCATGGTGGGGAGACACATGGTGGGAGAGACATGGTCACGATGTAAGACATCCTCATGGGGGAGACATGGACATGGTGGGAAGACATGTCATGGTGGTACATATCACGATAGTAACACATCCTCATGGTGGGAAGACATGACATGGTCACATCCCTCATAGTAACACATCCTCATGGTGGGAAGACATGGTCATGGTGGGAAGACATAGTCACGATAGTAACACATCCTCATGGTGGGGAGACATGGTCATGGTGGGAAGACATAGTCACGATAGTAACACATCCTCATGGTGGGAAGACATGGTCATGGTGGGAAGACATAGTCACGATAGTAACACATCCTCATGGTGGGAGACTTGGTCATGGTGGGAAGACATGGTCACGATAGTAACACATCCTCATGGTGGGGAGACATGGTCATGGTGGGAAGACATAGTCACGATAGTAACACATCCTCATGGTGGGGAGACATGGTCATGGTGGGAAGACATGGTGGGAAGACATGGTCATGGTGGGGACACATCCATCATGGTGGGGAGACATGGTCACGATAGTAACACATCCTCATGGTGGGGAGACATGGTCATGGTGGGAAGACATGGTCACGATAGTAACACATCCTCATGGTGGGGAGACATGGTCATGGTGGGGAGACATAGTCACGATAGTAACACATCCTCATGGTGGGGAGACTTGGTCATGGTGGGAAGACATGGTCACGATGGGAAGACATCCTCACAGTGGTGGGGTCAGACATGGTCATGGTGGGAAGACATGGTCACGATAGTAACACATCCTCATGGTGGGGAGACTTGGTCATGGTGGGAAGACATGGTCATGGTGGGAAGACATGGTCACGATAGTAACACATCCTCATGGTGGGGAGACATGGTCATGGTGGGAAGACATAGTCACGATAGTAACACATCCTCATGGTGGGGAGACTTGGTCATGGTGGGAAGACATGGTCACGATTGGTCATGGTGGGGAGACATGGACATGGTCACGATGGTAACACATCCTCATGGTGGGAAGACATGGTCATGGTGGGAAGACATGGTCACGATAGTAACACATCCTCATGGTGGGGAGACTTGGTCATGGTGGGAAGACATGGTCATGGTGGGGAGACATGGTCATGGTGGGAAGACATGGTCATGGTGGGGAGACATGGTCATGGTGGGGAGACACACATAGTAACACATCATGGTGGGGAGACATGGTCATGGTGGGAAGACATGGTCATGGTGGGAGACATGGTCATGGTGGGGAGACATGGTGGGAAGACATGGTGGTGGGAGACATGGTCACGATAGTAACACATCCTCATGGTGGGAAGACATGGTGGGAAGACATGGTCACGATAGTAACACATCCTCATGGTGGGAAGACATGGTCATGGTGGGGTAGTAACACATCCTCATGGTGGGAGAGATGGTCATGGTCATGGTGGGAAGACATGGTCACGATAGTAACACATCCTCATGGTGGGGAGACATGGTCATGGTGGGAAGACATAGTCACGATAGTAACACATCCTCATGGTGGGGAGACATGGTCATGGTGGGAAGACATAGTCACGATAGTAACACATCCTCATGGTGGGGAGACTTGGTCATGGTGGGAAGACATAGTCACGATAGTAACACATCCTCATGGTGGGGAGACATGGTCATGGTGGGAAGACATAGTCACGATAGTAACACATCCTCATGGTGGGGAGACTTGGTCATGGTGGTCATGGTGGGAAGGTCATGGTGGGGAAGACATGGTCATGATAGTAACACATCCTCATGGTGGGAGACATGGTCATGGTGGGAAGACATAGTCACGATAGTAACACATCCTCATGGTGGGGAGACATGGTCATGGTGGGAGAAGACATGGTCACGATAGTAACACATCCTCATGGTGGGAAGACTTGGTCATGGTGGGAAGACATGGTCACGATAGTAACACATCCTCATGGTGGGGAGACATGGTCATGGTGGGAAGACATAGTCACGATAGTAACACATCCTCATGGTGGGGAGACATGGTCATGGTGGGAAGACATGGTCACGGTGGGGAGACATGGTCATGGTGGGGAGACATGGTCATGGTGGGAAGACATGGTCACGATAGTAACACATCCTCATGGTGGGAAGACATGGTCATGGTGGGAAGACATAGTCACGATAGTAACACATCCTCATGGTGGGGAGACTTGGTCATGGTGGGAAGACATGGTCACGATAGTAACACATCCTCATGGTGGGGAGACATGGTCATGGTGGGAAGACATGGTCACGGTGGGGAGACATGGTCATGGTGGGGAGACATGGTCATGGTGGGAAGACATGGTCACGATAGTAACACATCCTCATGGTGGGGAGACATGGTCATGGTGGGAAGACATAGTCACGATGGTAACACATCCTCATGGTGGGGAGACATGGTCATGGTGGGAAGACATGGTCATAGTGGGGACGATAGTAACACATCCTCATGGTGGGGAGACTTGGTCATGGTGGGAAGACATAGTCACGATAGTAACACATCCTCATGGAAGACATGGTCATGGTGGGAAGACATAGTCACGATAGTAACACATCCTCATGGTGGGGAGACATGGTCATGGTGGGAAGACATAGTCACGATAGTAACACATCCTCATGGTGGGGAGACATGGTGGGGAGACATGGTCATGGTGGGAAGACATGGTCACGATGGTAACACATCCTCATGGTGGGGAGACATGGTCATGGTGGGAAGACATGGTCACGATAGTAACACATCCTCATGGTGGGGAGACATGGTCATGGTGGGAAGACATAGTCACGATAGTAACACATCCTCATGGTGGGGAGACATGGTCATGGTGGGAAGACATAGTCACGATAGTAACACATCCCTCATGGTGGGAGACATGGTCATGGTGGGACGAGACACATCCTCATGGTGGGACTTGGTCATGGTGGGAAGACATAGTCACGATAGTAACATGGTGGGGAGACATGGTCATGGTGGGAAGACATGGTCACGATAGTAACACATCCTCATGGTGGGGAGACATGGTCATGGTGGGAAGACATGGTCACGATAGTAACACATCCTCATGGTGGGGAGACATGGTCATGGTGGGAAGACATAGTCACATCCTCATGGTGGGAAGACACATCCTCATGGTGGGGAGACATGGTCATGGTGGGAAGACATAGTCACGATAGTAACACATCCTCATGGTGGGGAGACATGGTCATGGTGGGAAGACATGGTCACGGTGGTAAGACATCCTCATGGTGGGAGAGACATGGTCATGGTGGGAAGACATGGTCATGGTGGGAAGACATGGTCACGATAGTAACACATCCTCATGGTGGGGAGACATGGTCATGGTGGGAAGACATAGTCACGATAGTAACACATCCTCATGGTGGGGAGACATGGTCATGGTGGGAAGACATAGTCACGATAGT